AAATAACTCGGCCACGGCACAAATAACAACAAGATAAACGCGTCTTATCATCACTATTGCATTATTATTATTCATTTATAGACTTGATAAAATGGCAAATCTTGGCCGTATAAACGTAACCAAAACCATGTTTAGTAATTACTGGTTAAAGTTATGCTAACTATAACCATAATAGTAAAAAGGTATACCCTACTCTATTCCCAAGCTCGGGAATTAGAAATAAAGGCACACCACTCCATAAATGCATTACACGGTTTTTTCCATTTCCCATCATATGTATCTAAATGCACGCCTGTGATTTTCATGTGATTTGTATTATGTGTTACATTTGACATCTAGGAGGTGATTGGATGTTCTAAATTTAATGACATCATTTTAACGATTGGATAAATTAAAAATTGACAAAGGTCCAAGTTACCAGTTAAGTTAATAATATTTTTTAAATTCTTTGTTTAATGGATAGAACGATCATTAAAGCCTAGAAATTATTCTTCTGCAGCAGCAACAAGATTCTAAAAAGTTGTTTAATCATGTGAACATTACATTAGTTTAAAGTCAGTGAGTGAAATGACGATGGATAAATTTTTCGATAATATTGAATAAACATGCTAATATATCAAATCACGTGCAACCAATAAAATTATGACTCTCTGTAAATGCATCCCTCTCTAAACGCTACTGCCATTCCCGAGGGCGTGCATTTAGAGAAGGTTGACTGTAATACCCAAAGAAAGAGACTTTACCATAATAGGTAAGCTTAACAGTCGCTTGTTCCAGAGGAGTGTACATACAGCAGTAATAGTAAGTAACGTGAACATCTTGATAACGGAAAAAATGTAGACTAGTTGATAGCCAAGTTTGGAGTGAAAGAAGGTATAATTAAATAGAATGCAATCAGAACTGATGTCTATCGTGTCTTACTATCGAAAGTTACAACTCAGGAACGACAAGTGCAAACGCTCTTTTAATAAAAATACGACAGTGAATATAAATGAGTACGGATATGTCCTTAGATGTACTCAACGTTAAATTGCTATCACGTACGTTACTCTCTATGCGCGCGTACGTTACTATCTATGAATCACGCTTCGTTTGACGTGATTCCTACTTATAATAATAATAGTACGATCGTATTTTTACCATTTGTGATTGTGTAGTTGACTAGATAATACTATCAGTTGTATAATAATGAAACCAAATCATGTTCGCCAACCAATTGGTTTATCACGTATACCGTATATTTAAAAGGTGAATGCAGTACGAGCCATCAGCTGTATTACCAAATTCCATTGGTTCGATGAATGCCCACACAAAAATAAGGCTTAGTTTAAGAATTCTGTAAATCATTACATACAGTCTCTTGATATTAACCTGCAATGTCACAACAACAACAACAGCAACAACAACAACAACAACAACAACAACAACAACAACAACGGCAGCAACAGCAGCAGCAGCACTACCATCCTTCAATGCAACTTGATTTCTCAAATCAACATTTATTATACTCGCAAAACGAATTGCAGACAGGACAATTGCCTCAACACCAATTATCGCTTACCTTCAGAACAAGTTCTGTTTCGCAATTTATAGATCAACTACAACGGCAAGTGCGGGCTTATATAGACAATTTCAATCTGGTTGTGCATTAACAACCAGTTACAGGTTACGTTGGGCAACAGAATAATGCTCCAACTACTCGACAAACCTTGCAGCAACGTCAACACCCACATTTGAGACAGCAGCTGATGCAATTAGAACATTTATTGAACTGGGTTCAAGACATGCCCGGAGTTTTTCCGATCGAGCTATCCAACCACAGGTTTAGTATTAGTATATTTGTTTACCGCGAGATACTCCGTGTATTGGTATCAAGGCTCATGCTCCGCATACTATTATAATACGACAGGTCTATATATGCCAACGGAGATTACTTCCCGCTCACAGGGTGTCATCCATCAAGTTTCTCAACTACCGAACAACTTTTATGAATCAGGAAACGGGTTTCCAAATAAATTGAGACTGATGCAGCAGAGAAAACCTGATATTGTTTATAATAAGGAATGGATAGAGAGTAGTGTGAAAGAAGGTTCTATCCTGTTATTCAGAAAACGATATTAAATTGGAACGCATACCTATCGCTACTGGTTCGTGTGGAGTAGTATATAAAGCGACAATGAAACGCAATAGAATGCCTGTTGCAGTGAAAACTATGGTTCGGCGTCCGGATGAATACGAGGAAAAATTATACAAAAAGCTTGGTCTAGACATAACCAATGGTTAAAATACATGCATGAGCTTGATATAATAATAATCCACAAAGACTTGGTAATTCAGTAATTGTGATTAGACTTTATATTGCATGCAACTATTATATTAGCAAGTTATACTAATTACTCCTAAATTTTTTTAACAGTCTTCTATCAATATTCTCATAAAATCAGGCATTGCAAAAATTGCTGATTTTGGTCTGTCTGGACAAATTGGGTCCTTATCATTAGGTGATGACACTGCAGCATACAGAGATCCTTTATCATTTAGAGATCAACCATATAAACATCAAAAAATAAGAAGTCTGACATCTTCAGTCTTGGGGTGCTGCTTTGGGAAATTTCTAGTGGGAAAATTCCCTGTAATAGTAAAGATTGTGGATCAAGTGTGATAGAGCACAGAAAAAATGGTTATTGAGATTTGCCTTTTCCGGAAACACCAGAAATGTATGTTCAACTATATTCAGCATGCTGGAGTGAAAATCCTGAAAATGACCACCTTGTAAAAAAAAGAACAAGATATTATAAGCGGAATTGGTAATATCTATGCTTCGGAGAATATACAAGAAATTAAAACTGTTACTTGATGATAAAAATCAACATCTGCCAGGTAGAACATTGGATCTTTCTCAGAAGCTTGGAAATGGAGGAGCAACAGTGGTGATAGATGCTTTAGAATCAAACTCTTCCATTAATTTATTGATACTTTTTTATAACAGAATTGGAAATGCAGGAGCAACAGAGTTGGCAAAGGCTCTAGAATCAAATTCATCTCTGACTTTTTTGAATCTCTAGTCTAATCAGATTGAAGATGCAGGAGCAATAACATTGGCAAAAGCCCTAGAATCAAATTCATCTCTGACTTCTTTAAATCTTCAGCAAAATCAGATTGGAGATGCAGGAGCTATAGCATTGGCAAAGGCTCTAGAATTAAACTCATCTCTGACTTCTTTGAATCTCCAGTCTAATCAGATTAGACAAGTTACAAGTGGGCAGAACAACATTGGCAAAGGCTCTAGAATTAAACTCATCTTTGACTTTTTGAACCTTGAATGTAATCAAATTGGAGATGCAGGAGTAACAGCATTAGGAAAAGCTCTAGAATCAAATTCATCTCTGACTTCTTTGAATCCTAGTCATAAACAGATTGGACATGCAGGAGTAGCAGCATTAGCAAAGGCTCTAGTATCAAATTTGTCTCTGACTTTTTCAGATTTTATATTTAGTTTTAATCAGATTGGAGATGCAGGATTAATAGCATTGGGAGAGGCTCTTGAGTCAAATTCATCTTTGACTTTTTTGAAACTTGTTGGTAATCAGAGAGGAGGTGCAGGAGCAGCAGCATTGGCAAAGGCTCTGGAAACAAATTCATCTCTGACTTCTTTGAAT